AAACCATCAAGATGGCTGACTCACATGGTTAACAATCAAGATAGAAATGCATCATGGGAAATCGGTCAATCAGCCTCGCAAGGCATGATAGCTTACACGCTTTCCTCTTTATAACAGAAGATCACATATTTAACAGAACAAACAGCCACCAGACAAATGAGAACTAATAAATCAAACCTATTCAAATAATTTGTTTCACTTCATTGCTGTCCTATCATCAATCAAGTTCTTTGAATCATGTTACCTCCAAAACTCTGTTTGCAGGATTGTCTTTCATCTTGTCTTAAGTAAGGACAAGCCTTGATCCTTTTTCCTCAAGTCTACAGCAATGGGAAGTGTTCACCTGCAAGAAATAAGAGCAGGTGGGTTCGAGAATTAGTCTGAGTAATGGGCTGGACGTCGAATTACTCGGCCACTCCGGATAACAGTTTGTCCAGCAGATGAACTGGTTGCTGCGGGACTGGGGTGTGGCACTGGTGAAGAAGGTGTTGGTGGTTGGGCTACGGTACAGGGAGGCAAAGGAAACATAGGAGATGGGACTTCAGATGCTGGAGGTGATTCAGAGGTTGCAGGAGGCACTGTTGTGGGTGCTGACATTGGTGGTAAATCTGCCGTTGGACTGGACTGCAAACTGAGTTGTGGTATACCAGTGTCAGAGGAATATGATCCTAGCTTATCTGGGAGAGGTGTTATAGGCTTAGGCTGAGGTGGTGTAGGACTTCACTGAGAGGGGGCAAGCTGCAATTGAACCCGATTTCCTCTGATTTGTGAGGTGCCAGTCTGTATAAGGTAAGATCGTGGTCCAGCAGGACCCACTATCTCTCCAGGGATCCAAGCCTTGGCTGATGAAGTTGGTGGTGGTTTGGCATACACATAGGACTCAGGAAGTAGTTTGGGAAGTGGTGGTCCAGCACGCTTGTCATATGCTTTCTTTTGCTGTGATTTGCAGTGAATGTGCTCAAGCACTACAATGTCCCGTGGAGGGGTGCGTGGATCTAAAGTGATGGTAGACTGTGGTAGATCAGTGCGAAGAGTGCGGCCAAATAGACGTTGAGCCGGGGAGAAAGTGTGTCCAGCGGGTGGTGTATTGCGAACAGAGAGTAACGCTAGGTCTACATCTTCAGGAGTAAGAGGAATGTGTTTAGCAGACTTCACGGCTGCTTCAGCTCTGCCATTGGACTGGGACCAGTAAGGGGAGGAGGTAATGTGATGAAACTTATATTTCTCTGCAAATGCTTTGAATGCCTCAGATATAAATTGAGATCCATTGTCCGTAATGAGAGTATAAGGCACACCATGGCGTCCAAAATGCTGTTTCGTCGCTTGTATGACTGACGAGGCCTGGACAGGGTTCTCCCTAGTTTTCAGCACAACAGGTAAGAGACCTTTTCAAACCGGTAAAGCATTTGGTTAATGTTGGACGTTCTGCAAAGGATAAGCGACAAGTTGAACTTTTGCACCACGTTGGTTGAGCTAAGGTCAGCGCTGTCCCTCTAAGTATAAAAATAACCTTCACACAATCAAGTTTTCTTTTTTTCTCTCTCTGGCCCTACTGACTGCTTGTGTTCTTCTGAACTGCCATGCTCTGATATTGCAGCCTTCCTGTATCGTGTACCGGGCGCAGTAGCATATTTCACATTTTCGCCTGTTTTAATATGCTTCGTACCAGTTCTTACAAATTAAAGACAACAAAACATTCCCTCGCCCTCTTTAAATGCCAGACACCATACACTACATTTACAGCAGAATACAATGTCATCATCGATCCAGTCATGCTTGAAAACATGGGGCTTTGATGGCAACTGCCTGCTTATTTCACTTTAAATGCATAATTTTTTTAAGACTTATGAGCGTTTACAGGCGGTAATAAGTGCTCTTACAAGCGGTAAATTTTACCGGTTACCGCCTGATAAGGAGAACCCTGCTGGATAGAAGGAAGTCGATCAAGTTCGTAATAGTCACTGTAATGGTCTACAGTGACTAAATAGGCACAACCGTTGAGTGCAAACAGGTTCTGAGAGACCAGTTGCCAGAGTAGTGTAGGCACTGGGTAAGGCTTAAGTGGTTCTCGAGGATGTTGCTGGGCATGTTGTGCACAAGTAGCACAGTTCTTGCAGATGTCTTCAATTTGGCTGTTAAGCCCTGGCCAGAACACACAGGTACGAGCGTGTCGGAGGGTAAACTCGACACCACGGTGAACTGCATGAAGCTTGTGAACAATGTTTGATCGAAGCGAAGAAGGTATGACGACACGATCTTGTTTGAATAGGAGTCCTTCGTGTATGGTAAGTTCGTGACGAAGAGACCAATATGGATGCACAAGGACCGGTACTGAAGCTTTGTCGTTTGGCCATCCTGTCTCAATGAAGGTGCGAAGGGCTTTCTGTTCAGGATCTGTGCTGGCTTCAGCCCTGATTTCCTGTACAATAGCATCTCGGAAACCTGAAAGTTCTGGGTTGTTTTCTTCAAACTCCACGCGGTAGACCAATTCATCATGGACTCCTGCATGTGTTGTGTCTGGAAGTGGCGCACGGGAAAGGGCGTCAGCAAAGTGAAGATCCCTTGCGATATTCAACAGAGAATGAATAACGCTGAAGAGTGAGCGTCATGCTCTGCAAGTGGCGCGGGGCAGAGGCCAAGGGGCGCTTGAGAATGGTTTCCTGTGGTTTGTGATCACTGTGAACGGTAATCTCTGATTTCCCAAAGAGGAGTTGGTCAAACTTGCGGAAGGCATGCACAATGGCTAGTGTTTCTGTCTCGATCAGCGCATAGCGCTGTTCAGTTGCGCTGAGAGAACTAGAGCTAAAAGCAACAGGTTGCCAGTGGACGTCAGTTGCTTTGTTGGGATGGTTCATAGGCTGAAGTAGAGCTGCACCAAGACCATATTCAGACGCATCAACTTGCAGAATCACAGGAGCCTGTACATCAAAGTAGCGTAGGCATGGGGCTTAAGAAACTAACTCTTTAGCTTTTGTGAATGCTTCAGTATGCTGATCAGCCCATAGGAACTCCTTGTCAACGTGTGATAGGTCACGAAGTGGTCTGACCACTTCACTGAGGTTGGGACCAAACTTGGACAGGTAGGTTATGGTGTCCAGAAAGCGTCGGGTGGCAGTCTTGTCCTGAGGTTGAGACAGTGCTAGGTTTGAGCCTCTCCGGGCTAAGCACATGTCCCATAAATGGTGCAGTACATGTTTTGAACTTAATCTTGTCAGGATTAAGTTTAAGATTGTGTTGAGAGAGACGTTCCAGGAGTTCTAGAACTGTCTGGTCATGATCATCATGTGCATCAGTTAGGGATTCACCACGGCCAACCACAATAATGTCATCAGCAATATTGAAGACACCTTCCATACCACAAAGAATATCGTGGAGACGACGTTGGAACTGTTCAGGGGCGGATATGATACCAAAGGGAAGTCTAGTCCAGCGGTACCTTCCCCAGTGAGTGTGCATAGTGGTCAGAAAGGAGGACACATCAGATAATTTGATTATTTCGAATGCATCCTTGATATCAAAAGTGGAGGAAATCTTGGCTTGGTGAAAGCGGTGAATGTTTTCCTCTAAAGTCGGGATGGGGTACACTGGTCTGATGATGGCTTTGTTGATTGTTTGAGATGGGTCTAGGCAAATGCGAACTTTAGCAGGTTTTGTTGCAGAGGCTGGGCGCTCACGAACCACCATATTTGAGATCCATGGTGTGGGTTTGTTTACCGGAATCAACTGTCCTGTGTTGACAAGTTTGTCTAAAGCCTCTTTGATGATGGGAAGTTTGGGGGCAGCATAACGGTGAGGAGCGGCTTGTATGGGCTTGACCCCAGGGTTGAGAGTTATGGAAAAGGGTTCATCCAGTTCACCTAGCCCCTCAAATAAGTAGGGATAAGCTGACTTTATGTAAATCAAATGTTAACTCACCAGGTGGTAGCGCAGGTAGCTCTGGGGAAATATGCAGCTTATACGCGGTGTCCACATCATACTTCAGAATTCCCATGCGTGTGCTGTCGGCGAGACCCAATAGTGGAGCATAGTACTGTTGAGCAGTAATAACTTGAGTCACTATGTCATACGGCACGCCACGTCGAGTGCAGTGCAGAGTGATTGGTCCTCTGGTTGGGATGATGGACTTTGAGTAATCCAGTAGTCGAACCATTGAGGGTGTAATTTGGACAGGAGGCAGCTGCTTAAGGTCGTTGATGTGAATTGTATTCCAAGAGCAGCCGGAGTCAACTTGAAATCTGAGGTGCCTTAGTGATGATGACGTGGGACTCAGGTCGAGGTCAACATAGAGTCCTTTGATGGCCGATTGAACCTGATAAACTTCATGGGTGACAATGTAATCATCTTGCAGATCAGCCCCAGGGCTGGCCGCGGCTTCTGACACGACGTGTACGGAGGTGGCCCAGCATACTTGTTTCCAATGACCCCGTTTCCCACAGCCATGGCAAGTGTCGTTTGAGGCGGGGCAGTCACGACGGTTGGCATGTGGTGTGCGCCCACACCAGAGGCAGGTCGAGGTGCTTGAAGGGCATGGAGGCCGGACCTTGACACGTCGACTCGAATGATGTGGGGTCTTTGATTTGTCAATTGCTGGGGTGACCTTGTGGGTTGCTTCTTCAAGGTGGTGTTTTGCGATGGCTGATTCGGTCTTGAGCCCAGCCTCAAAGTCACGAGCTTTAGAAATTACTTGTGTAAACGAAAGTGTTGATAAGTTTTCCCTAGCAATAACATCACTGCGGAAGGGTTTAAAAGTATCATTGAGGCCAATAATGAATATGTCTCTTTGAAGGCGATCGTCTACTGCTGGGGGAAAATGACATTTCTGATATTCTGACCTGACCAGTGTGTGCCAGTCTTGTATTGACATACCAGGCTACTGTTTCAGAATACGCAGGAAATTGTGGGTACTTTGAATAATAGGCTCTTCTCCAAGGTAGTGCTGTGAGAGCTGAGTGAGCCATCTAGCTGGATGCTGTTTGTCATCATCAGCAATTTGAGCGTCGATTGTGGTGGTGAGCACATCCCATTCGGCCGGAGGAAAAGCTCGACGAAGAGCAGCCATAACTTTCGGTCTTTTAACGGCGATCCAGTAGTCATTGCTGTCTAATGTTTTGTCGGGGTTGACATAGTCTTCCATGATACAAAAGTCTCCCAAGTTCGCCAAGAAGAACTTGGACGCTCGGCGGCGATCGTCAGAGTTGGCGTCGAAAATTGGCCGGACTTTTCCCATAGTGGCGAGCAGAGAAAGATGAGAGCGGTCGAAGAGTTCAAAGGCAAGAAGCCTTTAGGCAAGTGAGGGTTACGAGACTTCTGACACCATGTAATGAGCTCCAAAGACGAGCTCACATGGTTAACAATCAAGATAGAAATGCATCATGGGAAATCAGTCAATCAGCCTCGCAAGGCATGATAGCTTACAAAACCTGGTACATCAAAGGAACAAAGCAAATGATGGAAAAGAACGATAGTGTGTTCACACTGTTGACTACGTTACATACTTCTTTTAACCCTTTGAATACCAACTACGCATATATGCGTAATTAATGGTCGTGCTCTTTGTATCACTTGTGACGTCATCAATTTAAATGTCATCAGATATTCTTGATATGCTGATAGTAGTGCTAGGCTAGCCCTTTCCGCACAATGGCCAGGTTTAGATATCGACGACATTCCGACGTTGCAAATCGAAAAACAAGGTTATCAGTTTTGGTGCAAAACCGGTGGTAAAATGGTCCACAATGCCTATGATTGATAAAGGTCCATTTCTAGGCTTCGCCCGTAATTAAGATCCAACTTTTCACTGCAGCCAGAAAGAACATACAATGCAAAAGGTAGCCAGTGTACAAGGGCAGAGAAAAACAGAAAGGAAAGGGCCAACAAACGAAATTGAGAACGGTTAATGGCAAAAAAAAAAAAGTCCAAATTTTGGCTTATGCGCATGCCCGTAATTGAAGTTTTGCTCAATTTTGTACCTAATCCTCGAAAAAGCTCTCCTTTTAGCAAAAAAAGCTTTTTTTTAGCACAACTTAGGCTTATTTAGTATTTTTTGGCAAAAGTTTGGTATTCAAAGGGTTAAATGTTTGCAGAAGCATATCACCTAGAACTAGGTGATATGCTTCCGATGTTTATTTTTGTTCCCTGCTATTAGCCCCTTTTTGGAAGAGCGATGGTGTTGTCAATAAATCGTTAAATAAATAGATCTGTCTAATAGCAGCAAATGTCTATCCCAGATGTTCTGCTGCGCGTGCAAAACAGTAGCCGCCGTTTCGGGAAACGAGTCTAAGCAGTACAGTTGCAGGAATGCAAATCTGACTAACTAGAGAGGTGACAGGACAAAAATACAAGTATCGAGAAAGATGAAAACAACCCATTTACTTTAACGCTACGGATAGGTTTCAAACGCAGTTAGCATGTGATTTTAAAACATGCAAAAGAATAAGTTATACTCTAATCACCCTGAAACGATTATAAAATATTTTGTAACTAATCTTAATAAACACAAACACAG